CGTTTAATAATATTTTCATTTCCATCTTAAATTTTAAGTGAATCTACCATTTTTATTTTCATTGGCAAAGAAATATTTGAATCAAAAAATGAAAATGCTGCTGCTTCAGGATTTAGATAAATAGTAATTTCATTACTTATCATATTCATAGCATCAGAGTGTGCTATGTCAAAAAGGTCCTCGAACTTTTCAATAAAGATATTTTCTTTTTTTATTTGCGTATCAGTTCGCCTGGACGAATTTTTTTGCAAATTTGTGAACACATTGTGCATCATCAAAAAAAAAAAGTTAACCTTTTATTCTAAACGTGAATTGTCAAAATATGAAAGGTTAAAACGTTTCTTTTCCTTATACTTCACAAAAACTAACAGAACCAATATACTATAGTTCATATCGCACAGAATAAAAATTAAATATGATAGTTTGTGAACACATTGTTCATCATCGAAAAAACATATAAACTAGCCCCCCTGCGTTTCTGACCCAAAATATAACACATTAATATGTATACATTTGCTTACAAAGAGAATATACTTTATACCAATGTATAACTTTTCGCCAAAAGGTGCATAAAAAAAAAAAAAAATGAGAAAGATCGTGAACACATTGAGCATCATTAAAAGTAATTTAACCTTTTATTCTAAACGTGAACTGTCAAAATATGAAAGGTTAAAACGTTTCTTTTCCAAATATTAAAAAAAAAAAAAAAACAAAACCAATACACCGTAGTGCAAATCGCACTGAACAAAAATTAAAAATGATTGTTTATGAACACATTGTTCATCATCAATAGAAATTTTAATCAAGCCGCTCAACGTTTTTGGCCAAAATGTAACATTTTAAAATGTATACATATCCTTACAAAACGAGTATACCTCATAACATAGTTTATCTTATTGCTAAAATGCGCATAACAAAAAAAAAAAAATAGAAAGATCATGAACACATTGTACATCATCAAAAGTAATGTTTACCTTTTAGTCCAAACGTCATTTGTGAAATATAGACAGGTGAAAAGGTTGGTTTTCCTCAAATAAAAAAAAAACAACAGATCCAAGAAATTGTTATACATATCGCACAGAACAAAAATTAAATATGTTTGTATATGAACACATTGTACAACATCAAAAAATAATCTAAACTAGCCCCACAGCGAGGTTGACCCAAGATATAACATTTAACATGTATACATATGCTTACAAAAAGAATATACCTCATACTAACGTATAGGTTTTTGCTAAAAGGTGCATATGAAAAAAAAAAAAAAATTAAAAGACCGTGAACACATTGCGCATCATCAAAAGTAAAGTTAACCTTTTATTTCAAATGGGAATTTATTTTTTTTTTTTATTTAGTAATTAAGGCTTCAACATCTAGGTCATTAGCCTGTGTGTATACATATTACATTACATTATTATATTATTTTACATTGTGTAATACATTATTTTACATTTAAAGTATTATTAAATCTAAGTTTTAAATTTCGGAGAAGTATCCAATTGCTTGAAGAAAATATTGATTAGATGTGTGATGTGTTCTCCAAGTGCTGTTTCCATTGTGGTTGGATGGTTTAGAATGGATTTTTCCTGTGCGAATTGCGGGCAGTGTAATAAGATGTGTTTGATCGTTAGTTGTTCGTTGCATTGAGTGCATATGGGTGGTTCTTCATGTTTGATTAGGTGTACATGAGTAAGATTAGTGTGTCTTAACCTTGTCCTGATAGTTACAATGTCTTCACGTCGGGATAAATTAGTTGGGGTATGCCATTTACCAAGATCCTAAGTCCCAAGGTTTTTTCCATGTCGCGTTTGCTAGTGTGTTTTTTTTTTTTTGATACATCCTGGTAAGTTAGCCTGTTTATAATTGTTACATCAGTTGTTGCGGTTGCTTCGTTTACTAGTGCGTCAGCTTTTTCGTTTCCCATTATGCCTGTGTGCGTCGGTACCCACATGAATTGGATGGTTTTCTTAGACCTAGCTAGAATGTTGTGTATTTGTTGAATCATTTCATTGGAGGGGTTTGGTGATTCGAGGGCTAAGAGGGCGCTCAGGGAGTCGCTGATAACTAGTATTTTGTTGGAAGTCATTGAGTTTGTTTATGTTAGAGCCTCTTTGATGGCTTGAGATTCTGCGATGAATATGCTAGCTTCAGGAGGGAGTTTGTAAAGCTTGCATGATGAGCTTGTTGTATAGGCAAATCCCACACCATTGGCGTTTTTGGAAGTATCGGTATATATTTGGGTATAGTCGTTAAATTCAGAGTTTACAATTTCGTTGAAGTTTGCTTTTATTAGTGCATGTATTGTGTTGTGCTTGTTAAGTAGGAGAAGTTGAGTGTTTATATTGATGTGTCTTTTCCAAAAGGGAATGATGTTATAGGGAGACGAAGGTTCGATATCAAATGTGAAGTTTTCGCAAAGTTTTCTGTATGTATCGATGATTTTGGTGTGCTGACATGNTTTTGGATGTTATATGGTGCTGTAAGGTTTTTTTTTTTTGATATGTATTTAAGGATTTCTCTGTTCTTTCTAATTTGCAAAGGGGGTTCTCCTGCTATGCAAAGAATGCTATTGACTGGGCTGGTACGAAAAGCACCGATGGAGAGTCTGATTCCCTCATTGTGTATGGGGTCGATCGTATTGGTGATTTTTGGCTTTGCTGAATTATATATTATGGATCCATAGTCGATTTTGGAGAGTATAAGCGATTTATATATGGTGAGCAGGCAATGTTTGTCTGCTCCCCAAGAATAATGGGAGAGCGTTTTAATAATTTTAATCCTATTTTTGCACTCGACCTTAAGTTTTTTAATGTGTGGGGACCATGTAAATTTGCTGTCGAAAACAATTCCAAGTATGCGAATGTTGTCGGTGTAGTTAACTTTATTACTGTTTAGGTAAACGTGATGTAATATGTCATTTTTCTTCTTATTGAAAATTATGCATTGGGTTTTTGTGGGTGAAAATTCAGAGCCTGATGTTAATGACCAGTTAAGCAAGAAGTTTATTGCTGTTAGTAGAAGTTCTATGGTGGTTTTGGTGTTGACTCCACTATAGTAAATGATACAGTCGTTGGCAAACAGAGAGTATTTTATGGGGTTCTGTAATTTATTAAAAATATCGTTTATGGCAATGATAAATAGGATTACGCTTATTGATGAGCCTTGGGATAGTCCATTTTCGGTATCTAGGTGATTTGAAAATGTATTTCCTAGTTTTGCTTGGATTTGTCGGTTTATGAGAAAGTTGTGAATAAAAGTAAGCATATTACCGGATATTTTCCATTTAATAAGCGTGGTTAAGACATTTTTCCTCCATACCATATCATATGCCTTTTTAAGGTCCAGAGCTATCAAGATTAAATGCTGTTTTCTTATAATGGCGTCACTTATGTCTGTGTGTAAAGAGGTGAGGACATTCTGTGTGGAGTGGTTCTGGCGGAAGCCACATTGATATTTTGTGATTTTTTTTGTTATCTCAAGATGCCATATTAGGCGTTTATTGATCATTTTTTCTAATAGTTTGCTGAAGGTACTAATGAGGGATATAGGTCGATAGCTTTGGACATTGAACTTGTCTTTGTCTGGTTTTAGAATCGGTACAACAAGTGCTTGTCTCCATTGGTTGGGAAAAATTCGTTTTTCCAAATTAAGTTGTAGATGTTAGTAGTACATTAAGGGCTTTTTCTGAGAAATTCTTTAAGAATATGTATGATATGTCATCAGGTCCTGGGCTTTTTCTCTTGCAGTTTTTTAATGACATTTTCAGTTCTTTTATTTTGAAAGGGAGGTTGTAATCAAGGTCATCTCTCTGAGTGTTCATGTTGATATTGAAGTTTTTATCAATTTGGTTTTTATATAGGAGGAAGTCCTTTTCATAATTAGAGTTGTTGCAATTATCTTGAAAGGTTTTAACAAAGGCTTGAGCAATGTCTTGGTCTGATGATAGATTAATGTTATTGTGTGACATCATATTAGGTATGGGTTGATATTTGGATCCTTTGAGCGCTCTTATTTTGTTCCAGAGAGTTGTAGGTTATATATTATTGTCTATTGTTGATGTGTAGTTTTGACAGTATTCTTTTTTACTTTTTTTTGTGATATATCTGGATTCTGCACGATATTTTTTTAATAATATGTGATCCGATTGTAGTTTGGTTTTTTTGAAGTGATTGAGCGCTTTTTTGTATTTCCTAATTGAAGATTTGCAGTCATCGTTCCACCATGGAATGGTTTTTTTACTTTTGGAACGATTTGATTTTCCTATTGTGAGGTTGGCTGCTTCTATAATTCGACTAGCAAAATTGTTAATCATTTCATCGATAATATCTTGGTTTAGGTTTTGTGGTTCAGCATTGAGATTGTCTAGTTGGTTATCCACTAGGTATTGGTCTAAGAGAATGGAGAATGTATTCCAGTTTGGGGAATTTAGTTTCCATTTGTTTATCGGTTCTTTGGTAAGTGTTTGATGAAAAAGTTGAATCCTTATGGGCCAGTGGTCGCTGCTGTTGTATTCAGGGAGAGTGTTCCATTCGATGTGAGGGGAAATGATTGTGCTTGCTATTGATAGGTCGATGGCAGTGAGGTTTCCATTTACCATGTTATGTCTAGTGGGGCTGCCGTCATTTAGGAGTATCAAGTTTGGATTTTCTAAGAAATTTTCTACTATTTTTCCTCTGCTGTCTGTATATGAAGATCCCCATTGAGGGTTGCGGCTGTTGAAATCACCAATTATAATGAAGGGTTTGGGGAGTTGAGTTAAAATATCAGTAAGATCTTGTATGCTGAAGTTGATACTATCTGGGAGGTATATGTTGCATACGCATATTTGGGTTTGGAAGTTAGCTAACACTGCGACTGCTTCAAGGTGAGTGTGTAGGTTTACTTGATGGCTTTAAATGTCGTTTCTTATAAATTTTGCTACACCTCCGCTGGCCCTTGTGGCATTTATGCAGTTTTTGAAATGTCCAGAATAATTTTTAAGATGGCTAGTTTATCCTGGTTTCAAGTTAGTTTCTTGGAAACATAGCATTTGTGGATGGAAATCGTAGAGGATGCGTTGTATGTCAATGTTTCATTTGTAGAAACCGTCTATATTCCATTGTATGATGTTGTTCATGATGATAAGATTCCTTATGGTAATGGTGATGGGTTTCTTTGGAGGGTTTAAGTGAGGGAGTTATTTTTTTTTTTTTTTTAGGACTGGAGTAGGGTGGGGTCTTGGTGTGGTCATGGTTTAGTTTGTATTTGTATGGTTCTGTGGAGGGAGCATTTGGAATAGGCGGTTTGCCATTTTGGTGAGCTTGGATTTCATCCATCGATCTGTGATAGTTGGTCGGACTTTCTCGAGTGTATTTATTATACTGGGTAGGTCAGAGTTTAATTCATTGCATAGCGTATGTATATTTATAGATTGGTTTCCAAAGTTTTCTAGGAAATATTTAAATTGGTTGAGATATATAGAGGATGAGTTGCTGTCGGAGAAAATATCTTCAGCAGGCCTGAGAGCAGCTTCTGTTTTGCTGTCCACTGTACTGTTAGCTGAGTTGGTCATGAGTTGAGATTTGATTTTTTTTTATCTGGCTGCGAGACGGGAAAAGTATCGTTTGGAGAGGTCGGTAACGTGAGAGATTTTGAAGTCAATGTGTCAGATAGAGGTTTTTTAATTTGTGTAGTAGGGGTGGATAGTATCGATGCTATTTCTTGCGATTGCTTAGCTATATTTGGATCATTGATTATAAGATCATTCTGATTTTCTTGTGGGTTGGAGTATCCGGAGTGTAAAGGTTCGTCAACGAGGGGACAGAAGGGAGATTGCACGTCATCTATCGATATAATAGTGTTTTTCTCATTGGTATTATGTGTGTGGCTCAATGTTTCATGTTGGGTGGGTGTTTGAGGATTAATTATATGCTCAGAATTTCTGTTATTGCATGACAATGATGTGGGTCCTATTGACTTGCATATGAAGCACATGATTTTTTCATCGGTGAAGAATATTTTAAAATGGGTTTGGTTATTTGTGATAGCTATTGATCCAGGGAGTTTTATTGTATCAGTATGGTTAATGAACATCTGTCTGCAAAAGCTCAAAATATGATCATATCCCTCCAAGTTGATTCCTGCTTACAGCCAATAAAATGCGAATTCCTCAGAAAAGAAGTTACGTACCTCGGTCACCGAATCACTGACGCGGGCGTCACACCAGATCCTCAGAAAGTCGAATGCGTTCAGAACTTCCCAGTACCGAAGAATGTCAAGGAAATCAAATCTTTCCTGGGACTTTCGGGCTACTACAGACAATTTATACCAAACTACGGACAAATTGCAAAACCATTAATATCGCTACTTAAGAAGGATGTTCCTTACCGCTGGAACGATCTATGCCAAGAAGCATTTGAAACATTAAAAAACTGCTTAATAAAATCACCGATCCTCCAGTACCCTGACTTCAGTCAGTCTTTCAAACTTTGCTATTGGATTTGTGCTTTCACAAGAAGAAATTGGCAAGGATCTTCCGGTAGCTTACGCATCTAGAACATTAAACAAAGTAAACCGAAGTAAACCATAATACTACCGAAAAGAAGCTGACACGTATAGTGTGGGGAATAAAGGTTTTTAGACCATATCTATTCGGTAAAAAATTTAACATAATCACAGACCATCGTGCCTTGTTATGGTTGTTCAATTTAAAAGACCCAGGCATTAGACTCGCTGGCGTTTAAAGCTTGAAGAGTATCAATATACTATCCACTTCAAATCTGGAACTAGTAACACGAACGCGGATGCTCTAAGTAGAATCCACCGAGTTGTTACCAGGGCACAACCACAACCTGAGAACAGCAACCATCCGACAACAAGTCAATCAGAAAATACAGAATATTCAGACTCTCCAGACAATTCAGCCTTTCGAACACTCACAGAAAATGCAGAACATTCCGAATTTCCAGACAATTTAGCCTCTCAAAAGTTCACAGATAATGCAAAACACACAGAACTTTCATTAAATACTGAATATTATGAATATGAACAGTTTCTCTCAGCAGAACCAAGTTCCAAGAAATCGTATACAAACTTAATGGAAGTGCAAGGAGATCTATTTGATAATGCGTCAACTGCCTCCTTGGTACATTGTGTCTCATCTGATTTCAAAATGAATAAGGGTATAGCGTTAACTATACGAAGAAAGTTCGGAAACGTAGCACAACTACGCAAGTTGAACAAAAAAGTTACCGAAGTGGCTTCGTTAACAGTAGAAAATAGAACAATATTCTATTTCCTCACTAAAGAACATCATTGGCAAAAGCCCAGCTATCAGCATTTATTTCAGAGCCTCTTGAATTTGAAAAAATTATGTAAGGAACGACATATCACACAATTAGTCTGTCCTCGCTTAGGTTGTGGACTGGACGGACTTAAGTGGGAAACAGTGCGTTCTATGATATGTTACATTTTTCAAAATTCAGCTATCAAAATCAAGGTCGTAGATCGTGAACCGTTGACAGAAGACGAACAGCAACGAGTAATCAGGGAGTTCCATGAGAATCCTCTGGGTGGACATCAAGGTATTGCCAGAACTTACCAACGGATATCACAGCAATATCATTGGAAAGGGATGAGGCAAATGATCAAAAATTACATCCTATCTTGTGCTACTTGTCAACTTAATAAAACCACAAATCGAACAATTAAGGAACCTATGGTGATCATGACCACCGCATCCAGACCATTTGAGAAGATTTTCATGGACATATTGGGTCCACTTCCGAAGTCCTATAACGGGAATGTATTCATACTTACCTTACAGGACGATCTTTCCAAATTCGCGTGGGCAGCGTCAATGGCTAACCATGAGGCAAGCACAGTCGCTTTTCACTTCGTAAATCAATTTGTATGCCTACATGGGCTACCACAGAATCTTGTTACCGACTGCGGTGCGGAATTTTTGAGTAAGGTTTTTAAAGAAACATGTCAACTTCTTAAAATCAAGCAAACTTCCACAACTCCTTGCCATTCACAGAGAAATGGATCATTGTATCATTGTGATCAGATGCATGTATCTACGAAATTATGTTAATAAAGACCCTCAAAATTGGGACACATAAGTTCCATACGCAATATTTTGCCACAACTCCACGGTACATACTGCGACAAACTTTCAGCCTTATGAACTAGTCTATGGTCATGAAATCAAAGTTCCAAATTCTTTTGTTAGGGACCCAGAACCTCAACACAATTACAATGACTATTATTCCGAAATGAAACGTAACATGCAAGAAGCACATCAGCTAGCTAAAAGACAATTACAAGATAGCAAGATCAAAGCAAAAGAACGTTACGATAAATCAGCAAATCCTCTGAACATAAGTATAGGCGAGAAGGTTATGATGCAAGAGAAAACCAGTAAAGGGAAACTCGCACCGAAATGGTTAGGTCCTTTTACAGTCATAGGAATTCAATCAGACTCTCCGAATATAACAATCCTCAGGAAAAACAAACCCACCACTTTGTATCGAAATTTACTCAAACCATTTGTTGAAAGAAATTGAAATTTGTTCCAGAAACTTCATGATGATCATGATTAAATACACAGAATCTCAAAGCCAGAACGTCAAATTTGAAAATCCACACAGAATATCAGAACCCGCATTCAACATTACTCCATTCATAAATCAGCGAGGATTGTATTACGAAGCACTTGCACAAGTTAAACTATCATCCATCACTTGGGATTTGGTAGCTTATGTAAATCTCCAAGAAGAAACTTCAGATTATAGGCATTTAATGTCTCACTACTATGCAACAACACAGATTTGTAAGAACATAAATAAAGCAGACAATTCAGAAATCGCAATCAAGTGTGAACTGTTAATACAACAATTCACATGAGCAACTCTACCTTTTCTACATCAAATAGAATCAAATCATCGTAGCTTAATGCTAGTGATCGACCACGACCAAAGCGAAAGACCTTGACGAAGATTGGGACATGCAGTAAGACGTATGGCCAACGCTCTATATGGTATGTGTTCAAAAATCGACACTGGGTTTATTGTAAATAAAATAATAGAATGGGGATTAGGAAAATTAGAAAATCTAAATCTAATACAAGACCGATCGAGAATCACGAAAGCAGAGATCAATGAAGGAAGCCATGCTCTACAACAAATAGCCGAAATTCACACTAAAGTTAAGAAAAATCTCCAGTATCTTCAGCAAGAAACTAACAAACATACTCAGAACATTGACATAATTATGTTTAAGACAAAATTGCTAGAACAAGAAGTTTTGTTCGAAACTTTATTGAATAAATATACGTTTGAAACGCAAAACCTCGTATCCATCGTAAATGCAGCATTAGATGGAAAAGTCCACACCAATGTAATCTTTTCACAGAAACTACTTACGGAATTACGAAAAATAAAAATGATTCTACCTATGGGAAGCGAATTACCAGTAGAATTTAACGTAGAGTCATTACCTGAACTCCTCAGAATCTCCAGAATATCTATTTTTACTCAAGATACTTATTTAGTATTTGTCATCGAAATCCCTTTAATTTCTAAGGAAGAATATAATGTGTATCATCCAATTCCTTCACTAATTCAGTATAAAAGTGATACCATAGTATTGATTTCTCCTAAAATCGACTATTTAGCTATGAGTAGCGATAATGAAAAATATTTCACATTAACAGTAGAACAATGGAAGACATGCACAGCACTCAAACAGGGTAAACTTTGTACTACAAATCAACCAATTCATCACCGGTTAGGATCTCGCTTATGCGAAGTATCTCTATTAACGAACTATCAGACAATACCAGAAACTCGTGACTTCAAGTATATACGTTGCGATAAACTTATATGGCATAGGTTATCGGAAACGAATTCATGGTTATACTTTACTCAACCTGATTCAAGCACTATAATATGTTTGAATCCTACAGAGACTATTAAAATTGAGGTGTTAGGAGTAGATAGACTAACTATCCCTTCTTTTTGCGAATTCCATATAGGAAATTCCATTTTTACATCTAATAACAAAGTTTGTCGAAATATCCAAAGGGATATGGTAACCGAAATTTCTCAAAATAAGTTATTACATTCAATAGAAGAAATTCTGAAATTTAAAAAACCCCAAAATATTTCCAACATTAATTTTATATAAGATTTAAATAGTTTAGCGAATAAAGCAATCGCAATAGACAACATTTCGGAAATATCATCAGAAACTATGGTAGATTTAAGAAATCATTATTGTATAACAATTATATTTATAAGTTTAGCCATTATTATAATTTGTTTTTGTATTATAATCTTTAGAGTAAAGAAAAAATGTATGTGTTTTGTAAAATTATATAAACCTGATATACCTATCGCTCAGGCAGATGGTATAAAGGAAGAAACTAGAATGTAAAAAATTAAAAATTTTTATTTGTATTCGAAATTTTATTTTATTTGTATTCAAAATTGTATTTTATTTGTATTTGTAATTTTATTTTGTAAGAAACACGGTGGTCGGTGAACCCCGTGTCTCATTTAGTCTGGGGGGGTGTTATGAACCNCTGAGACAGTATATCGGACTGCGTCGGCTCGACACGGACCTGTCCCCCCGAGCATAAGCCAGTTAGTCTGGTTGTAACAGAGCATTTGAACAGAACCTCCGTATATCGGAATATTATATTTGTCTAATTTATTGTACTTAAATTAAAATATAGTTGTATAATTACTTTAAACTCGTGCGCGTTCACTTATTATTTTTATTTGTTGTTGACTTTCAAAAAAGTTCATAACACATCCATCCAGTCATATCCAGTCACATTGTACTACCTAACAACTCAACTTGTATTTTAATACTTATTTAATATAAAATCCCTGTGACTAAATCAAAATTTAGAGTTCAAAAATGAATATAAATGAAAAGTTTATTTCATAAAAAAGTGCGTAAAAAAACGTGCAATTGGATTTCTGTACATTTTTAAAAATAAATATTATAACTATTTAAAATTCATATATTTAGACCCCTCCAAATAAAATAAAAAAAAATTCAGGGCACATCTTTGGAATATATAGCCACACTACTGAATTTATTTGATCGAGGGTCAACAGGTCGTAATTTATTAACATTTGTTCTTTTTAAATAAAATACATTCAACGTTTTTTGCCTTGTCGTTTTTTTCCGAGTTGGTTTTTGCCCAACTCTCTTTATAATCGACATCTACTAAAGGAGTATTGACGCTCCTTCCCCCCTCCCTTGTCCACCGATAGTCTCTCGTTGAAACTAAAAAATATTTTGTGTTTATTTTGCGAAAACTTGTTTTGTATTACGACGATATTGTTGAAAACGGGCAAGTCCATTAAAAAAAATCCCAGGGTAGGAAATCGTCTGCAGCTGCGGCGTATGGCAACCAAATTCAAGGGATTAACTCAAGAAGGTTGCGATGAGGTTTTCTAAACCCCTCGCTTCGCCCGTGGCACTCTTGTCAACGACAACAGCCCCGTTGTGGGAGAAGCAATAATATTTTTCTGACGATTTTAAAATCATTCCCGTATCAAAGCTGTTCCTTTTCACCGAATTTATTTTTCACATATGCTAATAACTAATAAGTAATAATAAATGAAGTATGATCAATATATATTTAATCCAATTTCCATAGGTTTTCACTAGTGTGGTTGTAAAATCGTTACTTAAATTATTATGTGATTATTACTTTTCAACTTTTGATTATAACATAGTTTAATCATAATACGTGGACTAAAAATAATTGTACAAAACGACAATAATTATCGTTCGGTACGCTATTCGGGAAAAAACGACAGGTAAAAAACAACACGGTAAACATTTTCAAGGGTAGAAAACGACAAAGAAAAAACCATAAAATATATTTTACTTGAAAATTACAAATATAAGTGGCTAATTGCAGGCACCTGACCTCAAATTATATTATTTCTGTCGTATTACGGAAAAAAATCCCCGATAGTGATAAATAAACGTGATCAGGATGTAATGCAAACTGACTATTTAGTTTTTATTTGTTTGGATGAAAGGATGAAATGTGTTATTTGAAAGAATATCAGTGTGAGAAGGTACTTCAGTACCATTTTTCGATGTTATTTTTTGATTCTGAAGATTTTTCTCATCAAATGTGAAAAACCGGGAAAAAAGTATGAAAAATGGTTATATCCGTATATTATTAAAGGTAATATATAATACATAAAATTATTTTACCATAATATGACAAATAAATTGTTAACAGAGCATCAACTGAACTCCGTTCAGAATCGTATTAACGTTCGCAATGGTTTATCGTTGCTTACAGATAAACATTAAATTACCTATTACAGTGGCTGCACTTATCTCCACTATTTTTCACACATACATGAACACACAACTATTAAAACGGACGCATTTAAATGCACTGTATTTCTACAGATTACATGTTTCCGGAATGTAAACATTCGGACTGTATTTTAACAGAAATCGTATAAACCCAGATTGTATTTTTCGGAAACAAAAAATTTACGAACCGTAGTCACGGAACCTAAAAACCCAAATTTGGAAAATATGTAAAACATATTTGTATGGAATGTTTGTTCCTGGATTTTAAACTCTCGGACTGTATATGTGTCTCAAAATAAATTATTAATCACGAACTGTATAACCTCAGAATCTTGGAAAATGTTTGAACCATTTTTGCATTCTTGGATATCACAACCGGGTGCGTACAATCAAACCTTACAATGTCCGTATATCTTTCTACCTTTCACGTTATTAGATTCAAATAGCAGAGTGAGTAATGTTTTGATTTTACAATGATGTTTATTTCTTTTTTTACAAAATTCGAACAAAAATTTCTCATAGAAAACTTGCTTCGGTCGAAAAATAACAAGAGATCAAATTTGTTCCTTTGATTATAAATCATTGACAGGGAAAGTCATTTTTAGATATCTAAAGCAGTTTTCATAATAATTGGAGTGAACCAAAAAATTCAATTTTTATCAAAATTCGGCACTTCCGATTTCATTATTTTAAATTTTTAAAATTCTAATATGTTTCTACCAAAAATCTTTTTCCACATGTCAAGAATATTTCAAGCATATTTTTCGAAAGAAAATATTGTCTAATTTGTGAATAAGATTGTTATATGAATAATTTAATTTTTAAGGAAATTAAAATTAAAAAGATGGATATACTTCGCACAATGGACGGACCATTGTTGTAGATGAAAAGTTGGAAAGAAACGATAGGTATAAAGGGGTATTTATTATATATCAATAAGCAAATATTAATCATTGCTAACGAAAAACAATTCTGAACGAAGCTCGGTTAATAGTATTGGTTTTTCAACAATATATATATTATATATATTATAGTAAAATAAATATATATTGAAACAATTTGTATGAACCAGTAACTAGATTTGTTTCACAAATTTTTACTCAAACGATTTTCGTTAAAATTTGATTAAAAAATACTACATTGGTGTGAAATTTATTTTTTTTTAACGACTTTACTCTTTAGTACGACTTCTAATAATCCTCCTGTTAAATTTTCAAGCATTTTTATTTAGTCTGATAATTTTACTACAGCGAGTACCTACCGAATAAAAATTATGTACAATAATTGCCAAGTCCTAGGGACTATAAATTATCCGAATATAATTTATCGAACAGTAAATTAACTAGAAGTATTTAATTCGAAAAATATTTGATTAGAAACGTATTTTGTTCGAAAAATATTAAATTCGAAAACAATAAATCCTTAAATAATGAAGAATGTATGAACAATATCAAATATATTTATTTGATATATATTATCAATTATTTATTATATTATCTGTGAAACATGGTTATCTGTATAGAAATGTAATTATTTCCCTTGTATTCTGAATGAAGCCGATTTCTATACCATAATATTATTATGTGTATAAATAAAATGATATTAATTAATAATATTGTAATTTAATAGAAGTAACGATCAGCTAATAATAATAATGTAATCACCATTGGATTTTGTCGTTTACGGCTCAACAAATGAGAATAAAGATTTTCATAGTCGGAGGCATTCGGGCAACTATCGATATTATTGATAAAGGTCAACATATTTTATGTGAAGACGTAAATATTTGTAATGTTATGCTCACATAGCATAATATTATAACTGTATGATAATTTATTATTTATATCATTACAGTAATATAACTAATAGATTCAAATATGACCGAGTACTTGGTATTTTACAAAAGAAAAATAATTTAATAAATCTAACGGATCGTTCGCTATTCGAGAGGAATACAAGCTTATCTACAAGCAAAATAACTTAAATATCTGTCAAATATAATAGAACTGCACGCCATCTGCTGCGGCCCTTTGAGAACATTGCCGCCTCAATCATACTATTGTATATTATCTTATTTTCACAATTCGATTATTAATTATTTTATATCGACATTGACGAGATTGCCATCTGTTCCGTCTTTTTAAGCCCACAAATTCCAGTGGTTTTCTATCATTCGAGAAAAATCAATATCCCATCCATTACCTTCATTTAGAACATTTAAACACATACAATTTAACGGTTTTTTCAATTGAAAATGAAGCGTCTTGATCCTTCGAGAAATTCCAAGATGAACACTCTGTCGAGAATCCTGCACATAGCAACAACTACGCTCCGCCAACTTCTCTCGAGGATCTCTCTCGAATAGCTCCGACTTTTAGCAGTTATAATCACTCGTGTTCGATTTATTTATTAATTCACTATGTAATTCAACCTTTTATTTTCCTAATTTAAAAATTAGCAATTTTTTATCTAAGTGCACACAATTGTTAAGTGTTAATTAATTAAATTAGTTTATCTTAATTAAATTGTGATTGTCGTCCAACGACTCAAGGTTCACGTGAAGTTATCCATAAGTATACACTCTAATGTTCCAACACCGTGGGCAGGTAATATAATTATATCTTTCTTTAGTTATTGATTTCGTCACCATTCTCGGATTCATGACTCCGAACCCCTTTCAAACATAGGAAGGATGGTAGTAATATAACTAGTAGGCTGAACTTTCATCATGAATAAAGATAAATCATTATTTGTAGTACCAAAACATAGATAGATTATTTCACACTATATAGGTACATTTTTAAACATACTCCTCTATATTTTATTCT